TATCTCGTATTTCAGGCCCGCCACGTAGCGATCCAACCGCTCCGCATCGCTCATGTCGTCCACTTGGTCCGCCAAGTTGCAGAACATGCTGGTGTAGTCTTGGACCGAAGTCAGCTGCTTCCAGGCACGCAGCTTCATGCGAGCAGAGTCCGAGGCGGATATGTGCTCGAACCTGGTTTGCAAGGCGGCGCCCTACTCCCTCCATGTGCGTATCGTAGCCGTCCCAAAAATTGATGCTGCCTGATGCGTGACAGGTGTTGAAGTCTAGTCGTTCGCACGTGCTATTCCTGCTGAAGTCCCTTCGTGCTGCAGCGTTCGCCTCCACCACTCAAGCGCAGGTCCTCGCAACAGTGAAACTGCGAAAATAAATGCGGGTGGCATCGTCATAAATCATGGCATTGAAAAACACCTCCACGCCGAACAACCATGCAGAAACAGTGACGAACTTGTCACTTGGGTTAAACGGGGGCGGGTTTGTCGACTTGATTTTAACAATAGCCGTTGTTGCCATCGGGGCCGTTGGCATTGCTGTCGGCGTCGCCGCTACACGTGTCGGTGCTGCACGCAACTGTTGCAGTGACTGTTGCTGCTGCGCCTGCCTTGCCTCGTCCGCATCCATCTCGCCTTCCAGCTCGCTCCAGACCCGCTCTTTTGGTGCAGTGCTGCTACTTGCGCCGTCCACGACAAGCGACTCCTGACGCGCTTCTGTCAGAATGTTTTTGTATACATCACTTTATAACTGCCTGCAATGTAGACTTAGTGTAGTTATCTTGCTTGTTAGGTGGTGCACCTTGCTTCACTTCTTTCATATTTGTACCCTTCAACCCTCGAACTAAAGCCACTAAGCTCCTAAGTTATGGCTCCTAAGCCCACCTACTCTTAGCTCATTCCTCATTCTTCACATGGAATCAGAGCGACTATGCTCTTGGCCTGTGGGCCCCACGTGCTTCCGCTGCTTTCTTGTCTGTCGCACGCCCCGTGGCGCGCGACACTTTTTTCTTCCCGCCACGCGCTCGAGGCGCGTGGCGGTTTTCCGCCCGCCGTGCGCCCCGGACGCGCGGCGTCTTCCTGCCCCGTCGCCGCCCTTCTCGGCCCCTCACGGCCTCTTCGCGACCCCATCGCTGCTCCTCTCACGGCCCCTCGCGCTACCCTCAATGGCCCCGTTGCCACACTTCGCGGCCCTGTCGCCGCCCCTATCGGCCCTGTCGCCACTCCTAGCGGCCCCGTCGCCGCCCCTAGCGGCCCCGTCGCCGCCCTTCTCGGCCCCTCGTGACCCCTTCGCGGCCCTGTCCCCGCCCCTTCTCGGCCCCGTCGCCGCCTTTAGCGGCCCCGTTGCCGCCCCTAGCGGCCCCGTCGCCACTCTTCGCGGCCCCGTTGCCGCCCCTAGCGGCTCCGTTGCCGCCCCTTGTGGCCCCGTCACCTGCTCGTCGCGGCGCACCCCCCCCTGGCCGCCGCCTCTGCCTCCCCTGCGCCCGTGCCTGCTTTGCACCAGCGCGCGGGCCTGCCTTGCAACAGCAGCCGCCCCTGGAGCAACCGCCCCAGCAGCAGCCGCCCCAGCAGCAGCCGCCGCTGCAGCAGCCGCCCTTGGAGCCGCCGCCCCTGAAGCAGCCGCCCCTGGAGCAGCCGCCACTGCAGCAGCCGCCTCTGGAGCCGCTACCCCTACAGCAGCCGCCACTGCAGCAGCAGCCCCTGGAGCAGCCGCCCCTGGAGCAGCCGCCGTTGCAGCAGCCGCCCTTGGAGCCGCTACCACTGCAGCAGCCACCACTGCAGCAGCAGCCCCAGGAGCAGCCGCCCCAGCAGCAGCCGCCCCTGGAGCAGCCGCCGCTGCAGCAGCCGCCCCTGGAGGCGCTACCCCTGCAGCAGCGGCCACTGCAGCAGCAGCCCCTGGAGCAGCCGCCCCAGCAGCAGCCGCCCCTGGAGCAGCCGCCGCTGCAGCAGCTGCCCCTGGAGCCGCTACCCCTGCAGCAGCCGCCACTGCAGCAGTAGCCCCTGGAGCAACCGCCCCAGCAGCAGCCGCCTCTGGAGCAGCCGCCGCTGCAGCAGCCGCCCCTGGAGCCGCCGCCCCTGAAGCGGCCCCCCTGGAGCAGCCGCCCCTGGAGCAGCCGCCACTGCAGCAGCCGCCCTTAGGAGCCGCTGTCAGTAGATCTGCACTGTGGATGCCCGATTGATCCTGGAGAGGGTTACAGGCGCGTTCGCCTGGGGGGTTATGGGTGCACTGACCCGCTACTAAAACAAGCCCTTTTATCCCAATGGTCTAGTGGTTGGGATTCTGACATGGTATCAGAGCGGTCTCGGGTTCGATTCCCGGTGTATGCACATGTAGGCCGTTGCCGCTGTGCTTAGTCCTGGGCCTCCCAGTGTGGGAGGGTGTCAGTAGATCTGCACTGTGGATGCCCGATTGATCCTGGAGAGGGTTACAGGCGCGTTCGCCTGGGGGGTTATGGGTGCACTGACCCGCTACTAAAACAAGCCCTTTTATCCCAATGGTCTAGTGGTTGGGATTCTGACAGCCGCTACCCCTGCAGCAGCCGCCCCTGAAGCGGCCGCCCCTGCAGGAGCCGCCCCTGGCCACTGGAGCAGCCGCCACTGCAGCAGCCGCTCCTGGACCTGGTGCAGCCGTGGGGGGGTGGGTATGGGGGTGGCGGGTGTGGGGGTGATGAGTGTGGGAGGTATGGGGGTGGCGGGTGTGAGGGTGATGAGTGTGGGAAGGGGTGCGGCAAGGGGTGTGAAAGGGGTGTGGGGCAGGTGAGGGAGGTTGAGTGGAGGTGGGCGCTGTGAAGTCAACAGCTCCAGTCGCCCGTGAGACCGTTGCGCTAGTCGCCCGTGAGCCCGTCGCTCCAGTCGCCCGTGAGCCCGTTGCTCCAGTCGCCCGTGAGTCAGTTACTCCTGCCGCTTGTCTAGCCGCGGAGTGAGTTACTCCAGTTGCCCGTGTGCCAGTTGCTCCAGTTGCCAGTGTGCCAGTTGCTCCAGTTGCCCGTGTGCCAGTTGCTCCAGTTGTGCAGTGTGCCAGCAGCTTCAGCTGCCGCCCACCACCTCCTTTTCTCTCATAGTCCCTCCTCCTCACTTGCCCTCTCCGTTTGTTGCGCTCTGCTTGGTGTACCCCTTCCGGGGGTGTTTCTGCATATGGTTTTTCACTGCAGGCAGTTAGGGGGTGTGTCATAATGTTATTGTATACATCACTTTATAACTGCCTGCAATGTAGACTTAGTGTAGTTATCTTGCTTGTTATGTGGTGCACCTTGCTTCACTTCTTTCATATTTGTACCCTTGAACCCTCGAACTAAAGCCACTAAGCTCCTAAGCTATGGCTCCTAAGCCCACCTACTCTTAGCTCATTCCTCATTCTTCACAGCTTCACCACGCACCTGGTGTAGTTCGGCGTTTTCCTCCCGAAGACGCGCCATTTCTGCAGACATCGTCTGCATGTTGGCCTGCATCATCCGGAACTGTTGCATGAACTCGTTGAACTCCGCCTGGTCCATGTGTCAGGCTTCGTCTAACGGGCTGGGGGTGGTTATCGATTTTTCTGACTTCGGTGAAGGCGTTAATGCTATCGTAGTCGGAGTGGAATAATCGGATCTATTCCACGGGCCAACCGCTTAACAGCCCACCAAGTCTATCGCTCCCCTTTTACAAACTACCCCGGAAACGCGAGGGTAACCTAGGAAATTAGGCTCTGATACCAGGTGTTATGAGTTGTGAAAGGAAGAGTGCGCAGTACTCAATAATGCGGAAGTGATTACAACGACTGAGAACACAACGAGGCCTAGGACTAATAAAGCGAAGCTAGCTAGGCCGAGGTCGCGGGGTCGCGAGATGGTTGGGTGCAGGTTCGGGGTTGGGAAACCCGAAAGCGACGCGGTAGTGGCTTGGAAGGCGAGGTCGGCGGACCAAGCCTGGTTTTCCGAAAGTCGGGGTTGTACGCGTGCAGTGTGACCCAGTAAGGAATCCGAAAAATTTCTTACACTCACCTTCACATTCAGAATCAAGCATTGTTACCTTAATGTCATTTGATAGTGTTTATACGCATCTTTTATATGTACTAGCATCATTCATTCAGGGTACATTCTGCTGTGGACACATGTCCCAATCGATGTGTCCCAATTGAGTGTACCGCTCCGAACCGAACTAAACCAGAGACGCGAAAATTTCGAAACTAGGGTGCAATTTGGTGTAATACGATGCAGTGCGGTAGAAACGATTGGGACACATCGATTGGGACATGTGTCCACAGCGGAATGTACCCTCAGTACATGTGGAGTTGCAGGTGCTATCACATCAATCCTTAGTCTCAAAAGAATGGTTGGCTAGTGCCACCGACTGGGCCAATCTATTTGGTGGCGTCTGGGATCCTCATTCCAGGTCCGCGCTTTCGGTTGTCAAGGCTGTGGAGGGAAAGCAGACGAGAGAACAGAGTTTTTTTACGAAACACCCGTGCAGGCTGAGAGTAAGGGAGAGCATGCAGATCTGTTTGTGTGCTTGTAAGCAGTACCCAAGTCTGACCAGGCACTTAACACTTAGCTAAGACACCAGCCTTCACACACCAGCTCGCCTCCACTTAACAAGCCATGCAATCCTGAAACCACTCTCAACCCATCCCCAGTGACACCTCTCAATCCCAACACATCCCCAATCTTCCTCCAACCCTATCCTTCCCACATACGAGGGTGCAAGCTTCCCTAGGTTGACCAGGAACCCCCTGCTAAGCCCATCAAACACGTTCCATTCGCCTCGACTCGATACGACATGTTGTCTGTCAGCGGCAGCCCCCCCTTAACCCCTCCCACCTGACATCTCCCCAATCACTCAGAGAAACCCAGCCTTCACACTCACGAGGGTGCGAGCTTCCCAAGGTTGACCAGGAACTCCCCGCTGAGGCCGTCAAACACATTCCCGTTCGCCTCGACTCAATACGCCATGTTGTCTGTCAGCGGCAGCCCCCCCTTAACCCCTCCCACCTGACATCTCCCCAATCACTCAGAGAAACCCAGCCTTCACACTCACGAGGGTGCGAGCTTCCCAAGGTTGACCAGGAACTCCCCGCTGAGACCGTCAAACACATTCCCGTTCGCCTCGACTCGATACGCCATGTTGTCTGTCAGCGGCAGCCCCCTCTTCACGAGTCTGTCCAGGTCCTTGCGATGCAGCTCCCTCGCATTCACATACACCTTGGTGTTTCCCCCAGAGCAGTTCTTTGGAAGAGCAGGCCCAAGGTCGATGCCAGGCTGGTGAGGGAAAGAGGGAGGAGGCAGGCAGAGTCAGAGAGATCATGTTATTACCACTGCTCTGGTTCCATCCTTGCGATGCAGCTCCCTTGCATTCACATACACCTTGGTGTTGCCCCCAGAGCAGTTCTTTGGAAGAGCAGGCCCAAGGTCGATGCCAGGCTGGTGAGGGAGAGGTCAGAGTTGTCACGAGGAGAAAGAAAAAGAGTCTGTGTGTCTGTATTTCAGCAAGAGTCCCCTCCCAACCAGTCTTCCTAGGTCCTTGCAGTGAAGCTCCCTCGCATTCACATACACCTTGGCGTCGCAATAAGACCAGTTACTCAAAAGGAGCCAAAGGAAAGATACTCACACAAGGCACTTGCTAAAGTGCAATGCCCTTGTCTTCTACTGCATCACGCCTTCAGGAACTTGCTGAATCAGGTGTGTTTACAGTATTGATTGGACGTTTTATCCTGGGATATTTCTAAGGCGCCTCAAGAATTGTCGTACAGAACGCTGAGTTCATTGGGGTTGACTATTGGAGTTATTTGGAAGTTTATCCAAGGCCCTCAGACAAGCAGAGCAGCAGACAACTCAACTCACCGGAATCATCCCGAGGCAGGGCCCTCCCATTTGGCCCCAGAAACCAGCCACCTGGTCGTACCTGCAAGGGAGAGTTGGTGACACAGACAGGTGGTGGATAGAAGTGAGAGAATAAAAAAGAGAGAAACATAGCGTAAAAAAGTGAGTGAAACAATCAATTTAGTAACGGAACACCACACACCTGGGAGGGAGAGAGAGAGAGAGAGAGAGAGAGAGAGAGAGAGAGAGAGAGAGAGAGAGAGAGAGAGAGAGAGAGAGAGAGAGAGAGAGAGAGAGAAAAGGATAGCCTGCATGGGTGCGTCTATTCTTTAGGAGACTTCGAAAAGCATGGCGCCACGCACAGGCGAGGTGAGGGTGTTTTTGAGACGTCTCAAAGACTTCGAAAAGCATGGCGCCACGCACAGGCGCTTACCAGTAGTTGCCAGGCTGGATCGGCCCCGCGCGTTCCTCCGCAGCTGCCACATGGCCATCACTGATTGGCTCCCCATTCACCACCACACACCGCGAGTACATCAACCTTCCGTCCCCACTCACTGCCCCAGCACCACCCCCACCAGCAGAACCCATCTTATTCCCCGTACTAGCCATCCCACCACCACCACCCACAAGAGCCGACCCAGAGTCCACTCTACCCATACTACTACTGCTTGTAGCTCTGGCATCGCCTCCCTTGCTTCCAACCTTGGCAGGGGGAGTCCCAGTAGGAGACTCACTATCAGACGAATTCCTAACCGAGCCTACTGGTGACAGCATTCCAGCGCTGTTGCACCTAAGCGACTCAAAGCTCCCAGCCCTTCCTATCCTTCCTTGACCATCCGAGCCTGTTGCCGAACCTGCTCCCAAGCCTGTTCTCGGACCTGCTGCCAAGCCTGATCCAGACCTACCGGGCCCCAAACCTGATTTAAGGGGTTTGGAGGGGCTAGAATTGGTGCCTCTGCTGCTCCTTCCTCTGCCCGAACCTGCTGTAGCCATAGCAGGCATGGTTCCTAGGACACCACCAGACCCTTTATGAGCAGTCCCGTTACTGGCAGCCCCAGGGCTTCGTACAGTGGCTGCTGCGCCATCAATAAAAGATTTCTCACGAAGAGCGGTGGCGGCCCTGGCTTCCGTAGAGTCAGTGGAAGCGGAGCGACCCCAGAGGTACTGCTGCTGTTGCTGTTGCTTTGTGGCATCGATTGCGGAAAAAGACGAGGAGCGGACATGCTGTTGATTACCCTGCTGCTGCTGCTGCTGCTGCTGCGGTGGCGGCGGCGGCGACAGTGGCGGCTGCTGCTGGTGGTGGTGTGGCTGCTGCTGTGGCTGAAACGGCTGCTGCAGCTGCAAGTGGGGCATGTGTGGGATGAAGGCTCGGAAGCGCGAGAGACCAATGCACTTCCCACAGCGCAGCTTGTGCACGCCCTTCTTGGTGGGCGGCAGCACGGCCGGGATCTCCAGAAGCTGCCTGCAGTGCTGGCACTGAGAAATGTCGGCAGGGGAATTGGCAGGAAAGGGGACAAGGATGGAGAAAAAAAGGCTTATTGAGACGTTCAAAGGGCTCGGAAGCGCGAGAGGGAGATGCACATGCACTTCATGCAGCGCAGCTTGTGCACGCCCTTCTTGGTGGGCGGCAGCACGGCCGGGATCTCCAGAAGCTGCCCGCAGTGCTGGCACTGAGGGGAAGAGATGGGAGAACGGGGAGAAATAAGGGGCCGAGTGAACATGAGGAGGCGGGAGAACATTTTGAGGCGCCTCAAAATGCACCTCACTACACGCGAAAAAAGGGGCCAAGTGAACATGAGGAGGCGGGGGAACATTTTGAGGCGCCTCAAAATGCACCTCACTACACGCGAAAAAAGGGGCCGAGTGAACATGAGGAGGCAGGGGAACATTTTGAGGCGCCTCAAAATGCACCTCACTACACGCGAAAAGAGGGGCCAAGAAAACATGAGGAGGCGGGGGGACCGGCGACGAGAAAGGAGGGTGTGGGGAGCAGAAATATGGTTGAGTTACCTCCTCAGTTCACTCATTTCACCGTACTTTGGGATGAGTGGCCTGTCTGTAACGGGCAGGAGGTAGCAACAAACTGTGGGATGAGGTGAGTGAGTAGGAAGGGAAGGGACAGACCGACGGCTCCTCCTAGGGAAATTTTTTGAGGCGTCTCAAAACATCTCTTTTTATCACGTAGGGATGGGACAGACCGACGGTTCCTCCTGGGGAAAATGCATCTCTTGACAAAAGGACAGATCCATGGTGCTGGTGGGAACCAAACAGGAATGTGTCTGTTTCTGCTCCGTTACTGGCAGATTGCACGTCACTCTTATCATTCGGTGAGGCTTTGGTTTCATAACAGTTTCCTCGAATCCAAATTTTCTTTTTTTCTTGAGACTTTGAACACCTGGTTCTTTTCTTTTTCCTGTTTCTTTTTCTTTTTTTCTTTTTGTTCTTTTTTTCTTTTCTTTTTCTTTTTTCTCTGTTTTTTTATTCTTCTTCTTTTTCTTTTTTTCTTTTTTCTTTTTTTCCTTTTTTTTCTTTATCTCTTTTTTTCTTTTTTTTTCTTTTTTTCTTTTTTTCTTTTTTTCTTTGCTAGCATGACCTTCGGCGACAAGATCGAAGCTTATACAAACGAGCCCCCATGAGCTTCCATCCACTTAAAACTATGCTCCCCCTCCTGTCCACTTGCCCGAACAACCAAGTCCCTTTTGACACAACAACGAACCAAGGAGCTCCTTATTTTTTCATTGTTAGCATTGTTAGTTAGCTCCTTATTCGCACCAAGTCAACTGAGTGACACGTTCCCTTCTTAGGGCGAATTTGCTACCTCACTGCCTTGCATAACCTCTCGTCCAGGAAAAAAGAACGACAGAAAACCAGATACCTGACCAGTCCCTGTGGATCCCCAAAAACCCCTCACCCATCCCAATCATCTCCCCGTCATCTCACCCTAAACCCGGAGAATCTGAGGCCTTCAAAGGCATAGAAACCCCATCAGCTCACCTGCACGACTTGAGGCAGCCCCGGCGGTGGCAGCATGGGCAGATTATCCGCCTCCCCCTCGCCCCGTTCCCCCTCTTCCCCAACCTGCGCCAGCTGGAAAAACCCCGCACGGGTGGGGGACTTCAATGCCCCCGCGCCAGAGGTGTTCCCCCCAGGGACGCTTCCCCCAAGCCCCTCCATCCGCGGAATGGCGGACACGGTCCGCGCAGGGCGCCCGACTCCCCCTCCCGCTCCCCCCTTCAACCCCGAACCTGCTGCCGAGCCTGTTCCCGGACCTGCCCTCGAGGCTGCACCTGCTGCCGAGCCTCGTGACTGAACTGGGGAGTACTGAGGAGCAACAGCAGCCCTCATCCCCAACGGCTGCACCAACACTCTTCCACTACTATCCATAGTAGGGGTTGATACACCCTCCCCTCCCGCGCCTCGCACACTAAAGACTCTAGGATCTGCAACCTCTTGCCCTCCCAGGCTAAGAGCACGCACACCGCCGCCCGCCCGCCCTCTATACCCCATTGTAGTCACAGCCTTGGTGAAAGTTCCTGCGTTACCCTCACTCCCTGCCGCCAACCCACGGGGTTTCGGGCTCTTCGCGCCGGGTGGTAACCCGTCGCCTTGTAACGCGGATTTCTGCAAGCTAGCGGGTAGGACCTGGCCGCTGATTGCTCGCCTTAGTCCTTGTGACTGCCCTCCTGCTGCCACCCCTCCCGCTCCCCCTCCTGCTGCCGCTCCCGCACCTATTACCGCTCCCCTTCCTGCTACTGCTCCTGCGATTTTTGCTCCTGGATTTCCTCCTCCTTTCGCCGCAGCTGCTGCTGCTGCTAGTGCCGCCACACCCACCGCCGCTCGTTGCTGTTGCGCCTGCTGCGGCCGCCGCTGCTGCCCTTGCTGCGGAGACCTCTTTCGCACGTCCATTTCGCCCATCGTCACTGCCCGTGAAAACGTTTCGCCGGTTTCGCTGCTGATCTTCTGTCTGTTCGAGAGCCCGTAGGTACCACCAGGAACACCGCCTCCGGCCCCGATACTACCAGACCCGATAGCGGTAGCGCTAGCGACGCCACTAACGCGAACGCCGCTGCCAGCGGCAACGCTGCGTCCGGAAAAAGCAGCGTTATTAGAAGCCATCGCAAGAGCTTTAAGACCGATCGCGCCGACTGGCCCTCCAGCGGGTTTCACGGGGGAGGTTTGGAACCTGGGCTTGCACCCAAGCGTCATGGACCGGCCGAACTTATCCGCCTCGTTTTCCGGCTCGTATTCGTCGTCATCGTCATCGTCATCGTCTTCGTCATCATCATCGTCGTCGTCGTCGTCTTCGTCTCCGTCATCGTTATCGTCATCGTCATCGTCATTGCAATCGTCATCGTTAGAAGCAAGTGCAGCTTGTTGTTTCTGCTCCTCGAGCTGAGGCTGCTGAGAGTGTGACTGCGGACGCTGTGATCTTAGCGGAGAGATGTCGTCATGCCCCCGCTGTAAGCCCAGCATGGACGGCGTGAATCCTTGATGCAGCGCGAGAGCAGTCTTTCCGTCTACAAGCGACACTGTGCGACTGATATGCGACGGAAGGTGCGACTGCTGCTGCGATTGTTGCTGCGACTGCTGGTGTAACTTCTGCTGTTGCTGTTGCTGCAGTAGCAGCTGTTGCTTCTCAACGGCGATTGACCGTTGGACGAGCAGCGACTGCACTCGGTTGTACCCTCCAATAGCTGCCGACGAGTCGTCTGTATCTGCGCTCGCTGATCGACCTTTCTTTCCTGGAAAGTTCGCCTTAAGAACTCCACCGCCGCCGTTAACGATGCCGGAAGTTGCTCGGAAGAGTCGCGCGTGCTCCGGCGACACATCTAAGAGCGACGTGCGACGAGAAATGGTTGGCTCTCGGCAGTAGGTAGGCTCATCTGGCGTGCTGCTCGCGATTTGCGTTGATCCCTGAGGGAAGCTCATCCTGTTCTCGCAAGAATTTGTCTTTTGAGTGTCAACTCTGAACAATGCTTTGGTTGTTAGTTGAAACGGTGACTAGATTATTGTGCTGGCTCCTGGGGGAAGCAACGAGATTGGGACCTCGACTGATCGAATAATGTTCCAACGCACATGCCCTGGTAACGCTTCACAATACGTAAGTCGATATCACACGGAACTAGCTATGGCGGCTGAAACTGACAAGCACCAGAGATAAGAACAGAACGCTATGGGAAGCCAGTCACGGGCTAAGGCCGTGGAACCTCCAACTAAATTGACTGGTAAAATTACTGGAAGTGAGAACGAGAACCACTACTGACCTAATATTCCGGATTTGCACACGTAACATCTTTAAAAGAAGCGTTTTTCCAGAGTATCTGCAGCCAAGAGGCTGTGTATTGTCGAGAAATAAGTTGAAGACGAGTATGAACAGAGGTCATGTGCGGAGATGTGTGATGGTGGTGGTTGTGGCGGCGACAGGGCGAACAATGGCAATTAGGGATGTGACGGGAGAGGTCAGTGGGGTGGTGGTAGTTAATGCGTGCACAGCTGGTACCGACCCGCTACCTTTGTGTACCGTTCTGCTTGGTTTTCTAACCGTTTTAGACGTAACAAAACTTCAAGAAACCGGCCCGTGCTTGAGAGGTTGGACGAGCAGGTGACCACAGGTTCCACCACCACCTCCTGCCCGCCCTCCCGCGCGCAGTGGAGTCAAGCGGGCATACTGTACTGTTTGAATACACGTGGCTGAATTGGATCAGGTCTGCCCATTCCTCCACGCATTGTGATTGAGCAAATCTGCGAAACTGTCAGTAACTTGAGGAAGGGCGTGTTGCAAGCTAGAAAATTGAAGGATGTGGCTGTACACCGATTCCTTGTCGTCGATCCTCTGCACTTTCGATCCGCCAAAATCATCTGTACCAAAAGAATTCGAAACATAGAGCATCCTGTTCGTCAATGTCTCGTCTGATCTTGCGGCCCATGTGACACTTGCTTGCGAGTTTTCAGACAATCGCGAAATGGTTTCGTGGCTGTAGGATTTTTGCTTGTCAATCTCACGATCGGTCTTCATTGCAGGGACGATCAAGCTGGCCTTCACACGTTTCCTCGGTCTTGCACAATACTGCCACTGTAGTATGGTAACCATACAGTGGGTATCGGTTCAAAGAGGCGATCGATCCCCTACTTGCAAGTCATTTGAGAAAGAATGTAGGGATTCACAAAGCCTTACTGAGGCAGTCGTTAGCGAGGACATCCCAAGGGCCACGTGACATTTCCACAACCAAACCTCACCGAGTCGCCTCCGCACCAATCGTGACCTTACGCGGGTCATCCTTTCCCGACCTCCTTGCATAGCTAGCTTTCCCCCTATTTAGATCTCGTCACTTTCATTGTATCGTCATTCTGCAATTCAGTTTCGTTATTCGTTATTATGCGCACTCTGAAGTTCATTCATAACAACGACAGACAACTGTAACACGTACTCAACTATACCTATGCATGGATCAGTTTTGAGCGAACATAATTTTTCGGTCTGCGACATTTTGCGAATAATGATGCTCTACGTCATGAGTGATTCACTATAGTACTGGACTGTAGCTTCGTCAGTGTCGTTGGCGGGACCGGCGTACATCATTTAAGCACTTTGGAGGAGCAGCTCTAGCTCGAAACTCGACGTGTAGAAATCCCATCCGTTGAAGCCGCTGCTTGTGTGAATCTTGTAGATGGCCAGAAACTTGTTTTGGGTCATGAGGATGGCTTCATCACTTGGAAAAGAAGTTGTGCAAGGTGAAATAGAGCCAAGGTCAAATATGTTGGGAGCAGCCGGTTGTTGAGTTCTTGCGAGGTGTTACAAATAGTGAAACACTATTGTGCACTCCTAACCGCAGCTAAGTGAATCACGCAGTATCGAGAATGAATGCGAGGAGTCGGAGTTGACTCGAAGCGCGTGGCGGTTTTCTGCCCGCCGTGCGCCCCGAGGCGCGCGGCGGGTTCCTGCTTTGTGCGGTGCCTTGCGGGTCCGCGCGCCGGCCCCTCCCGTCACCTCGTCGCGGCGTCTTGGGGGCCCGCGCGCCGGCCCTGACCGTCGCCTCGTCGCGGCGTTTTGGGGGCCCGCACGCAGGCCTCTCCCGTCGCCTCATCGGGGCGCTTTCCGGGCCCGCGAGCCGGCCCCTCCTGTCGCCTCGTCGCGGCGCCTTGGGGGCTGCGCGACGGCCCCAACCGTCGCCTCGTCGCGGCGCCTAGGGGGCCCGCGCGCGGTCCCCTTCCGTCGCCCGTCGAGGCGCTCTCGGGGGCCTGCGTGGCTCCCTAACTCGTCTCTCGTCAGGGCGCCCTGGGGGCCGCGCCCTTCCCCTCCCCTCCCTCCTACTTTTCACCTGCAGCAGCCGCCCCTGGAGCAACCCTCACCTGCAGCAGCAGCCCCTGGAGCAGCCAGCAACTGCAGCAGCCGCCCCTGGAGCAGCCCGCACCTGCAGCGGCCGCCCCTTGAGCAGCCCGCACCTGCAGCCCGTCCCACTGCTGCAGCTGTCGCTGAGGGGGGTGGATGTGTGGGAGCCTACGGTTTAGGGTTTAAGGGGGGTGCTGTGGGAGTGGAGCTAGGGTTTGAACAGGGGGTGTGTGAGAGGGGAGTGGGGCAGCTGGGGGAGGTTGCGTCAGGCATATCTGCTATAGTCTGTGTAGGCTGTAGTGGGGCAGTTCATATGGGGTACAACACTTTAGGGTTTACTACTTGTACTCCTCATTCTGCTCAATGCATTCATTCCTCGTTTCTTATCATGGTATCGAGCAGGTTCCCTAGTGGGAACGCTACCTAGGGCCCACCACGATATTTTTTTTCCTGCCCTTGCGCGCTTCACTCCTGCCCGAGTCGCGCTCTATGTGCCCTCCCTACCTTCGCGCCGCCCTTAGTGGCCCCTCTCACGACCCCTTACGCCGCCCTTACGGCCCCTCGCGCCGCCCTCTACGGCCCCTCGCGCCGCCCTTACGGCCCCTCACGGCCCCTCGCGCTGCCCTTACAGCCCTTTACGGCCCCTCACGCCGCCCTTACGGCCCTCGCGCGGCCCCCTTTCGGCCCCTCGGGGCGCCCTTTCCGGCCCCTTACGGCCCCGTCGCCGCCCCGTTTCGGCCCCTTGCGGCCCCTCTTCGGCCTCGTCTAAGGCCCTTGCGGCCCCGTCTAGGCCCCTTGCGGCCCCTCTGCGGCCCCTCTGAGACTCCGTCGCCGCCACCTGCAGCCCCGTCGCCACCACATGCGGCCCCGTCGCCGTCACCTGCGGCCCCGTCACCGTCACCTGCGGCCCCATCGCCGCCACCTGCGGCCCCGTCGCCGCCACCTGCGGCCCCGTCGCCGCCACCTGCGGCCCCGACGCCACCTGCGGCCCCGTCGCCGCCACCTGCGGCCCCGTCGCCGCCACCTGCAGCCCCGTCGCCGTCACCTGTGGCCC